TAACTGCCTAAATAAAAAATAGAAAACGCCCAGAAAAATCTACATAGTATAGTCGGGTCATAAAAGTATTTAACGTATTTATTTGTGATAAATAAAATATTATGTTTGCAGGTACAAATTACGGCCGTGGACGAGTTGTATGTGGAGCAAGATGCAGAGGGCTCTGTGTTGAAGCAAATCGCTCGCGTGCGCTTGTTCTTCTTGGGCTTCTTGAGCGGTAAGTTTTCAGCCGCAAACTCGTCGTTCTCATTACCTTAATGTTTTAGGTATTCTTGCCTAACTCTTCTGGTATACATTGCCTTAAATTGAAATAAAAAATACGCTCAAAGACAGAAACATTAAAAACACTCAGCTCACAACGAGCTGTGGTCACTGTAAAAAGTTCACATTACAACATTTGTGTTATGGCTTTAATGAATAAGCTCCCGCATGACGAAAATCGAGATGTGACAATGAAGAAAAAATCATGACTCGTATGGAGCACTAGTCGGTTTAATCATATCACGCACGACGACAGACGTAACTTCTCAGCAGGGTTGCCAAGGGAGAGTATTACATATCTTTATTCCTACCTTGTCCTTCTCTAAAATAGTCACCTTTTATCTTCTAATACCTAAGGTGATCACATGAACAGAATGAATGAGTAAATAATGGTATCAGGCATGCCGGACGTGGAGCTGGGCGTGAACGACCTGCGGCGGCAGGGGCGCGAGGTGGTGGGCCGCCACGACATCATCCCCGTCGTCACCGAGGAGTGGATCCGCGTGGAGGACGCGCAGTTCCACGCCTGCGTGCAGCCCGACGAGTTCACCGCCACGCAGATCATCAAGTGAGGGTGCCACTTAACGCTCGTTCAAAAATATCAAAAATGTTTATTCAGTTTAGACCACAAGTGGCACTTATGAACGTCAAAATGTAAATAATAAAAAAAAGGTAGCGCTTATGGAGCACTTTACATGTCTCCTATCTTTTGGGCCCTACCAGCGCTTCGAGACAAACATATGGCAAGAGTTCGCGTACCACAAAACGATTTTTGTACCTTTGGCCCCACAACACAGTTTAATTTACCTTATGTGCAGTCTAAACGCCAAGTCTTATCAGTATTGATTAGTATTAAAACGTTAAAGAGACAGTACTTACCTTTCAAATGATATTTTAGATGGTACATAGACGATCCTTCCTTACAGGTTCAAGCCACCGGACGCGTGCTACATTGAGCTCATGAGGTTCCGAGTGCGGCCCCCAAAGAACAGAGAGCTTCCTCTTCAGCTGAAGGCAGTGTGGGTCGTTACCGGCAATAAGGTAAGTTTGCCGTTAATTCGTCAAATGATACTTTCAAAGCGGTTTCCATTAGCAACAAAAGGTTAGGGGTTACCGTCGTATTTGTATCATTATCATCATCACCAACAGCCTTTTACAGTCCACTGCTGGACTATGAGCTTCCTCCACTATAATGGAGGGATTTGCCATTGTCCCCATGCTTGGCAGGCGGGTTGGAGATCACAGTCTAAAAGATTTTTTTCAGAGAGCGCTGCTGCCCGTGATCTGTTTGATGTGTAGTCTAAGTCGCCTCTTACGACACCCGCGAGAAGAGTAGGGGTTGGTGACAAATATATTCTAAAGCCTGGTCCGTGAGCACGTAGAATTTTGTCCAATAACCCCAAGCTACCCATCCTTATCGCTTGCGCGTAATTATATTGCTGTCGCGACTGTGCGACGGGCGCCCGCAGTGAGTGTGCGAGCGCGACAGCAACATAATTACGCGCGAGTGATAAGGATGGGTAGCTTGGGGTCATTGGACAAAATTCTACGTGCTCACGGACCAGGCTTNATAACCCCAAGCTACCCATCCTTATCGCTTGCGCGTAATTATATTGCTGTCGCGACTGTGCGACGGGCGCCCGCAGTGAGTGTGCGAGCGCGACAGCAACATAATTACGCGCGAGTGATAAGGATGGGTAGCTTGGGGTCATTGGACAAAATTCTACGTGCTCACGGACCAGGCTTTACTCTGTCGTGAGCACACGGCGTATTTGCATGGTTGAGCTCACAGTTTCTCGGCTCAGGTGGAGCTGCGCGCGGACGCGCTGGTGCCGGGCTTCGCGTCGCGCAAGCTGGGGCAGGTGCCGTGCGAGGACGTGTGCATCCGCTTCCCCATCCCCGAGTGCTGGATCTACCTGTTCCGCGTCGAGAAGCACTTCCGCTACGGCTCCGTCAAGTCGGCGCACAGGTAGGTACCGCTTAGATATTAAAAAGATAAAATTACTTAGCTTAAAATTTCCGCTTGGTGACGCCGGCACAAGTACCCAACTACACTATCACACACAATACCTGCACGCACTGACTGACTGTGTTATAGTACAAGCAAATGCAAAAAGCACCGCCCGCCCTCCCACAAATCGTAAAGTACTTAGTACATACTTACTTACTTAGCAAGGCGTTACTTTGCGATTTGTGGAATTTTTACAGGTACCGCTTCTTGTGTGCACATGTGTTCAATACTTGTAGGGCATAAACACTTGCTAGAAGGCGGAAATGTATCACCCTAGAGACCCACCCTAAACCTTCCTAACGTCAGGTATGGTTGAATTGAACCTTTTATGTAAAATACTAAACAAATAATTAATGTAAAAAAACGCAATGAATTGCAGACGTACGGGTAAGATCAAAGGCATCGAGCGGTTCCTGGGCGCCGTGGACACGCTGCAGGAGTCGCTGATCGAGGTCACCTCCGGCCAGGCCAAGTACGAGCACCAGCACCGCGCCATCGTCTGGCGCATGCCCCGCCTGCCCAAGGAGGGACAAGGTACACTTTCTGCATGATTATTTTTGACATCGAATTGTAGGTACGTGCACAAGTATAAGATTATGATTGACCAATCTCGGCGTTGCAGGCGCGTACACGACGCACAACCTCGTGTGCCGGATGGCGCTGACGTCGTACGACCAGATCCCGGCGGAGCTGGCGCGCTGGGCCACGGTGGAGTTCACGATGCCGGCCACGCAGGTGTCGCACATGACCGTGCGCTCCGTCTCGCTGCAGAACCACGACGCCGACCCGCCCGAGAAGTACGTGCGCTACCTCGCGCGCCACGAGTACATGTGAGTGTCTCCGTCTCTCGTCTTGTACTGTCTCACGTCACGTGTGCCGCCGAGCTATAAAGCCTTGATCACACGTACCGAGTAATCGGGCGAAACAGTGCTCTCGGCCGAGTATTCGGTGCGTATGAACATAGCGCCGAGTGATCCGCCGAGTGCTCGGCCGAGCAAAGCGGCGAGACAGTAGCTCGACTCCCGTTCCACTTACTAGGCCGAGTGTCCACCCTCCCGCTTCCCCGCACTGTCTCGCTCGCTCGCTCGGCAGGTCTGAACGTGCACTGTCTCGCCACTCGCCACTCGGCCAAATGATTGACGTCACGTCCACAGATTAGAGAAAAAGAAAAGTCTCAATAGAACTGAACTGACTGTGCTAATTTCAGAACACGTGTGAACAGCTACTCGTTTACATCACTGTCTCGACCGAGTAAACATTTGACTGTCTCGCCCGTTTACTCGGTACGTGTGATCAAGGCTTACCGAGCGCCCCCGTTGTTGCAGCGTGGGCATCGAGCGCACGTCGGGGCAGTTGGCGCCGGCCTACGAGTGCGCGGCGAGCGTGCCCGCGCCCGCGCCCGCCCCCGCGCCCGCGCCCGCTCTGCCGCCCGTGCCCTCCTCGGACTCCGACTCCGACTAAACGCCGCGCCCTGCGGCCCTCCGCCGTCTGAAGGGCACACGCCACGCGAAACCTCAACGCGATCAGAGTCCCGATTACGGTAATTTTTAACGTCTACAATCCAGACACGCTTCATCGATTCTGCGATACGATTGGTCAAAACAGCTGACGTACGCTGTTTACGCTGGCGTACGTCAGCTGTTTTGACCAATCGTATTGAAGAATCAGAAACGCGTCTGGATTGGAGACGTTAAAAATTACCGTAATCGGGGCTCAGTTGCGTTTCCTGAGCCCGATTGTAGTCGAAGGACCCGGTCCCGGCGTTTATGTCGGAAAACATTAATATTGATGCGCGTGTAATGATCTATGTTATTTTAATGTATGATACTTCTTTGTCATGTATGTATACTCATTAAAATTATATCACCTTTCGCTTGCCACTAAGTTGAGTGATTAGGTTAGAAACGGTTTATTGGAATAGATATCCAATCTAGAATGAGGACTGAAGATTACATGGCTGTTCCTGATTGAGACCGGAACCTCCGACAGAACACGCGATGTGTGATATGAACGAAGTAGGTGTTGTAGCGAGTGGCCACTATACGAACGAACGTTGTAACCCCATTCTCGTGTTGGATTGTAACATACGGAAGAAAGCAAATCAAAAACCTAAAGTATTAAGACTTGATAGAGTAGTCCAAGTAAAAAGTGAGATTTGGAATGCGAATATACTGTTTAGTGAATGAATACGAGTAAATTATAATGAGAGGTCTTGAAGTGCTTAGTTGGGTGTAAAAAAACTAGAAGAAAATTATATGAATGTAAATAAGAGCGCTTGAACGTGACCAGTATAAAGGTAGGGAGTAGTAGTAGAGTTTTAAGTACGAGTTTAAGCGTTAAAAGTTGTCGTTTTTTGTTTATTCTTAAATGTAGAGTTAATTTTGGCAGGCCGTGAGCGAGTAAGTTTGTTATTATAAATAATTCAATATCCGTCGGAAAAATCCCACCGACTTCATGATATTGTAGTCGCATCACATACTCGTAATATCTGAATAAGATACGCATAATTACTATGGTTTTAAATAAACCTACACCTATATGGATTATAAAAATGCTATTCTGCAAATAAATAACTTATTTATAGACATCTCTACACTGAATTAATGCCTTATTCTCGACTATAACAATAAACTTAAACCTTACGTTAAAGTATGTCTATCAAAGATCTCACATGAATAACTTATTATGTAATATCAATATTATCTATTCCATTTTTTGCATTAATTTCTTATACATAAAAGACTATTATTTCATTATATTAAACCTATAAAAATCAATATTACTGTTGTGTAAAACGACTTGACAAAGCTGTTTATTTTTTTCTCTAACGCGTTTATGTCTTTACCTTGAAAACTACAAAGCTAAATATTTAATTTGTATTTATTATCATAGTACATTCGTGTTACAAAATAAAAGTATTGTTCTTCATTAGTAGATATTAATAGCCATACTAAAATTTACTAAAGATTAGATTTACACTAATAATATGTATTTTCATACCGTTACTGGTTGATTTACCAATAATAACTATGCAAGTAATGATATTTCTATTAAATCATATTAATAACTTTGAATATAACGTGAAAGTAAGTAAAATACCTTGCGTAAGCTAGTGCGTGAGCCAATCTGGCTATTGGAATACTACATCAAGTGTTTCGTAGAAGCCCGTAGCTACGGAGAGGCCGTCGCGGTCGGTCGTAGCAATGTACGCGGCTGCGGCCGTAGCTCGTAGCACGCGCCGCGCTACGACGACGCTACGACGGCGCTACGACGCCGCCCGCCCTATATCTAACATTGTGATAATAATAATCTCCACTTAGTTGTTGATCTGTTCTTAGAGATTTAAGCAATAAAGCGAACCTATTATAACATAGGATGTAAGTATAGCCGTTTTTTTCTTGTCGGATATAATGTATCAAATACAGTAGTCATAAATTAATTATAGCACAAAATATATATGTGTGTAATAAAAATCTAATTGAATTCGACAAGCGCTGCCTATTTGAGTGTTACGATAATAGTTCCATTAAATGCTGATGTAGTGATATTGCAAAAAATGGTAAGTGATTGGCAACGAGTGGCGCGCCTCGTGCAAGAGTGAAGAGCATAATATCTTCATAAATGCATGAATTGTTATGTTGCAGTATTAATGTTAATTTTATAATTGCTCGTTCATGACATTACATGTATTACAGTAAAAACATTTATCATAGAAAAATATAATCATTGTCCAAGTAAATATTTATGAGTGAGCTAAAACTTGAATGTACCTATCCTTTAGATTAGGTCGTGTATAAAGCTTGGTAGTTAAAATATTTTATCTTTACCTACGCGGTAAAACTGGGTATGTACATGCCTATACATATAAAAATATAAATTATGGAAAATAAATTATATTTATTGATACAACACACGTTTGTTTGTATGAATATAAATAGTTAGGCTGTTTGAGATGTGTTGCATGTACTACTACACGGTGGACCCTGTTCTGTTAATAAATAATCATGACTGTGAACCTTTGCTCTTTGTTTACCCCATCACACCCCAAGACCTACTAACTACTAAGCCTATTTATATAAATAATTCTCTTTGACGGGGAACTCTGTGCAAAGAGAATGCCCTTGAATGTTTGATGGAACAAACACCCCTCGGGCATTACAAGATAAAACTTTAACATTACATGTATAAAGAAATACAAGTCCAGGTCTTCATTCCATAAAGTGCTTAGTACTCATCTAGGAAGAAATAGTACAAAGTAACCGAACGCCTTCTTACCGAAACGATTGAAGGTGGTAAAACAAAGTAGCGCATTAGAAATAAAGCTTTCGAGTCACCGCTGAAGCTCTACATATTTTCACGGATGAATGCCGAGCGAGCGTTGAACCCGTCGCGCGGTGACGATGCCCGATTGATCAATACCATGAAAAATGGATCCCCCGTCCCGACAAAGGACGGGTATAAATACACGTAAATCGATATGCAGACGACGCATCCAGTGAAATAGCGGACGAAGGCACGCTACATGATTAGACGGTCGTATTTATGAGTAACGAATAAGTACTTATGTACTTAATTAACATGCGTCAAAACAGAACAGCCAGAATACAGGTACAGAAATCTCTGATAAGGTCTCTACAAAAATATAAATACCTATACAATGACCTATTTCAAAGTTACCCAAAAAATATTCGTTTAATCGATTAACACTTAAATCTACTTGAACAGAAAATACAAAGACAACATTAAATTAAACTCTAAAGGGTATGGGAAACTTGCCAAAGAGAATACATATGACATCATCACCAGTTGCAGTGAAACCGAGATCGAGTCAATATGTTTCGATTGCAAGGTGAAAGCTATATCGAACAGTCCATCAGTTGTCGATATAGTAAAAACCCTGAGTTTTAACACGATATCGAAGTAATAAGGCGATACCAGTAAGATTGGCCAGTTCATCCGAAGATAGGTGACGGGGGAACATTGTGTAAGGTGAGTGCAAGGCCGTGGTCGCTCCGTGGCACGGTGGCCTTCGGGCGAGTCAAGAGCAGTGCCGTATTATCCATAAAGCACTTTAGGCCAGTGCCTAGGGGCCCACTATGACCAGGGGCCCAGCACTCCCGATTAAAAAATGAAAAATAAAAAACATATGTTAAATATCAGAAAAGGTCAATTTTCAAGAAGTTTTAAACGATTTTGTATCTAAAAAAATTAGAAGTATACCTTTGCAATGTTGTGACTAAAGTCTGTTGTTGATAATGATGGTACCTTCATTCAATTTCGTAATGTAGACAGTAAAAATTTCCAAATTGCGTTGTTGTGGTCTGAAAAAGGGGGGCCCGAAACGAGTTGTGCCTAGGGGCCCCGAGATGGTTAATCCGGCCCTGGTCAAGAGGGCGGCGCAAGTGGGGCGCGCGGGCCGGGCGCAGGCGCGTGTTCCGCGCACGCGCGCCCGCCGCGTCGATGGCTGACATCACGCGGGGCTCTGCGCGATGAGCCCGTCACCATCAGGTACGTTCCGAGCTGAACCGCCGCCTCGGGCCGCGCGGGGTGCCCCTAACCTCTCGTGCTGACCAACCCTTTTGGGAATATTTTCGTGAGTGAATTTCGAAAGGCTGGCGGCCGCGGATCGCCCGTAAGGCGGTCCAATGTGATCGGTCGTGATCGGTGCTCCCGTCGATTCCTTTTTTATTATAGAAGATCTTTAACATGGTGATACAGGATTAAGTGACAGAGGAATCGCCAAATCTTCATGCATAAACTTGTTCCGACAAATTGTTGGTGCCATGAGAATATCAATGACATATCGCGGGAGTGTAGTGCGGGATTATCTAAATGACGTGCTGTCGAGTTGTAACGCCCGTAGCGATATGGTAGTCGCGTGACTTACAAACGGGCCCCTTAGGTTATAAATACAGTATGTGGTATGGCTATTACTATAGTGTCGATTACACAATGGGTCCAAATTATATTGTCGTGTCTTTGATATCAATGTGTTAGCCGTTCCGTTCAATTAATATAATTTTAACAAATTAATGCAAGTAGTTTTTTTTTTAATTTGTTGTCTTGAGTATAATGTAGAGAGATATGTAAGTAGACACATACATCACCATCATCAGAGTCACATATAATAAGATATTTAAAGAGAGAGATGACATTCCAGTTCCTTCCAATAATATTATGATTAAACTTTGTCGCAAGTAATAACGTTATTCAGTAAATATTATGTTTCAAATAAATATTTACTAACGTAGGAGTTATAAATAAATGTCTCAATAATGATATTGACGACACTAAAACTCATTAAATCTACAAAAAAAATGTGGTTCCTTAAAAATTGCAAAAATGTTTATATGGATAAATTCTCAATACAAAAACACAACTTAGTTCAACAAGACCTAAGCAAATTAACTTGCATGAGATTCATCTTCAATTTAACAATTTAATTTTATGACAGACAGTATTCAGAGAGTGGAATAAATAGATTGTCCCCTTGAACAAGTGGCACTTTTTGATCGCTGCGAAAATCGAATCCGCTGACGGAGCGAAGTAGTTCCTAACAAAATAAAACCGACTCCAAAAAACCTACACTAAAACGTAGAAAAATAATTACTAATTACCTACTTATTTATTAGGACGAATTATTAATATTTATGTAGGTATACCATGATTGATACTTCTGGAGTCGGTGCCAAGATTATGAAACATGTAAAGTTTGCCTGCACCGACTCCAAAAGTATCAATCATGGTATACCTACATAAATATTAATAATTCGTCCTAATAAATAAGTAGGTAATTAGTAATTATTTTTCTACGTTTTAGTGTAGGTTTTTTGGAGTCGGTTTTATTTTTTTTTATAAAATTTTACTTATTTCTTGCTTTTTAGTTAACTAATTATTACCTTGATGTTACCACTGAAGGTAGGCAGTACACTGAGACCAAAAAAAATTGGTTCATAATCGGCGGAGATATTGCGTATAAAAAAGTTCATCCCCAATTTTCCACCCTTGGGGGTTGCTTTTTTTATTATTAAATTTAAATGGGACCACCCTTGAGGTATTACCTATACGCCGAAAAAAGATTTGTTCAAATCGGTTCATAATTGGCGGAGTTATCGCGTAACAAACATAGAAAAAAAAAAAAACACATACGGGTCGAACTGAGAACCTCCTCCTTTTTTGAAGTCGGTTGAAAAAACGCAAAGTCCCTTCGAAATTACCACTGTCAGGTTTTGCCACTTGTCTAGGGGGGCTGATCTGATATGGTCTTAACATTGCATGATTAATTATGATTATGAACTTCATCGTACGGGACGAACTGAAATTGTTATGAACACTATGCTAGAACTCGTATGTCCTAAACAGCCCGTACCAAGTTTATCAAATAGCATAGTATTTCTAAACCGTCACGAATGAAAATCGCGCACTAGCAAGCTCTCGAAATACCAAAGACTTGGAGGTTGGAACCCTGTTATTTACTTATGTGTTATATGATTGACGGCATGAGTTGAGCATAATTTTAGGCTCCATTCTTACAATGCGTGCCACCAATCACCAATACCTATATTATGCATGGTAGCCAGCTTCACATGGAATATTTGTACATAAGGAAGGCATTACTCGAAAATCTATCATTTTGTCTGCCTTTGATGCTCGTATAAGGGTGTACAAGATGCCCAAGTCTATGTGAGGTTAGCGGCTGTTTTTATTTATATAATTATTTATTAGGTACACCAACAAAGTCACATACATGTTTGTTTTGAGCGTTATCAAAACCTTACGTCAACGCGTAGTACCTACTGACATATTCGTAGACTACGATACTCGTAGCACGGTAACACTAGTCCTCGTAGCTATACTCACTACGAGTCGTAGCAAGTAGTTATTTTTTTATGTAGTTGCATCAATTTTTTTTCTTTCTTTTCTTATTAAGGATTTTCCATTTTGTAAATCTCAATGTATACCTCTGTACATTCACTGTTTTTAAAAACATACCAACCGAAGCATCGGTATCGTCCATCCATACTTGGTGGGCATCAGTATTTTAGTTTCGTCACATGTCTTAATTATTTTTACTATCTTAACGAGCACCGATCATGTCTCAAGACCACGGATATATGGGGCTAACTCACCAACCACTCATGGCCTTAGCAACCTTGGTTGCACTGGTTGAATGGCGAGCGAGGTGCGCGGTGCCTTAGGCAGATTGCACTTCACCGAGCCACAATTATGTTGACTACAAATTCTTAATCTCTACGTTCTTCACTGTCTTGGCATCTTCTGGTTCGTGCATTTCATATGGGACAGTCATTAAATAGTAGATGGTATGGTTTCCTCAGAGGGCGGGCTCATAGTGGCGCGGAGCGGCGCGATGCGGCAGCACTAGCGGCGCATGGCGGCAAGCGGCGCGCCCTCGCGCCCGCCGCGCCGCGGGCCCGCGCCCATCGCCTCCTTCGACCACGACGTCTCCGACGAGGTGAGGCCTCCAGTATGTATCTCTCGCTGTCTCCTTCGCACACTCTCTCTCTACTCTCTGTCGAGCCACCCGCCCCCCCGTTTCCTCGAGAAACGGCCGGCGGGCGGTCGATTTTCCACGCGTTGACCGGGCAACGATTGAGGAGCAATTTTTTAAATTCTCCACAAAGTATTTCGCTGAACACGCGGCGGGACGTGATCGCATCGACGGTTGCCCGGTGAACGCACGTTTCGACCTCGCACCCGAGTCTCAAAACGGTCTCATCGCCGCGTTCACAGTCGAGCCCCGAGACGAAGCAATCTTTCCGCCTGCCGGAGATCGTCGAGGACGCCAGCTCGACCGGCGGCGGGGACGCGCTAGCGCCGCCCGCGCAGCGCGCGCGCTCGCAGTCCACGCCCGCGGCGGGCGCGGCGGCGGCGGGTGCTGCGGGCGCCCTCGCCGCGCCGGCCGCGCCGCGCATCGACATCTCGCGCGCCTCCAGCTCCAGCCACCACGACTCGCGCGACAGCTCGCCCGAGCTGGCGCTGTTCGCGGGCGCCGCGCCGTCGGCCGCCGAGGGGCTCGGCTTCCGCGAGGACGGCGCGCTGGACCTGCGCTCCTCCACCGAGGAGCTCGCCTTCCTGGAGCCGGCGCCGGCGCCGCCGCCCGCCGCGCCCGCGCGCCGCCACTCGCGCAAGGACTCGCAGGGCTCCGAGGCGGCGCTGCTGGCGGTGTCGGGCCGCACCAGCCGCCTGTCCAGCGTCGGCTCGCAGTGCTCGGCGCACTCGGCGCTGTCCGGGCTCAGCCGCGTCGGCCGCCTGTCCGTCGCTTCCGCCGCCTCGCGCTCGCCCTCGCCGCACAGGATGCTGCTCGAGACCTCCTTCTGCGGGCCCAAGCCCATCGAGACCGACCCCGAGCTGTGCGCCGCCGCCGTCGAGGAGCGTCTGCTCGAGATGGCCAAGCTGAGCGCCGCGACGTCGCCCACGGCGGCCGCGCCCTCGCCGCCGGTGGACGCGCGCGACCGCCGCGAGGTGCGCACCGAGGCGACGGTCGAGCGGCCCGCGCCGCGTCAGACCTCCGCGCGTCCCGCCCCCGTGCCTTCCGCCCCCGCCCCCGCCGCTGAGCCCGCGCCGGCGCCCGCCCCGCCGGCGTCCGATCCCCCGGCGCCCGCCGCCGACGACGAAAAGCGACAAAAAGAAACCAGAAATCGAGTCCGAGCCGAGGAGAGAAGAGCGAGATCGCGGGAGCGCCGCGAGGACCCGGGCGAGAGTCGGACAAAGAGTCGATCGAAAGACATCATTCGGATAAGGCTGAAACCGAGCGAGGAGTACGAGGACGACGACGACGACGACGCGACCGAGTGCGCGGCTCGCGGGCCGGCGCCGGCGCCGGGGCCGGGCCCGGGCCCGCGGGCGGCGCGCCCCACCGAGCTGGCGGCCGAGCCCGCGCCGCCGCGCGTGCCGCCGGTGCCGCGCGCGCCGGCCGCGCCGCCCAGCACGCCGGCGCCGCGCGCGCCCGCCGCCGAGGACAAGATCCGCATCAAGCTGCCGCGGCGGCCGCGCACCGCGTCGGCCAGCGCGGCGCCCCCGCGACCCGAGCGCGCCCGATCTCGCAGCGGGAGCGAAGGTGGGTAGCTATTTTCAGTCTTGTCTCGAACGCTGAACCTGAGCCCTCTGTTCGTCCGAAGCATTGTTATTTACGTAAAATGTGCGACATTCTTCTGTAACATGCGAATTGTAAACAACTGTTGAGTTTCCAAATAAATAAATTCTGTCTGATCGACACGCATTCCCCCAGGAATGGAAACTCGATCGAAGGCGGAGTGGATCGACTTCGAAGAAGTACCTGAAAAACGAAAGCAACCGAAGCGCATCCAGACGCTGCCGAGCGCGGCGGTGGGTGCGGCGGGCGCGGCGGCGGCGCGCGACGTGGTGTTCAGCTACGTGGCGCCCGACGAGTGCCGCTGCGAGTGCCACGCGCGCGCCGACGACGAGACGCCGCTGCTGCTCGACGACGCGGAGCCCCGGCTTGGGTAACTATTTATTACTTAACGAATATGCAAAGCCATTTCACGTTAACGCAAAAGCTATCGACGCTGCTGACCTAAGATTTAGTTGTATGGAAAAGTGGTCGCAAACATTTTCAATTAACTTCATGTTAACAGGATTAAATACGGAAACTGGCGTGTGTGCTTTAATTTCACTACCTTTTTGTGCGGTAGTCGGTACAGATGAGGTGACATGATGGCTGCCCTCTCGGTTACGAAATTCCCGCATAAGAAGGTACTTAAAATTCCGCCAGACTTAGCGGGCGATTGTCCTGTTGCAGCATGTCGCCCGAGGACGCGGAGGCGGGCGCGGGGCTGGCGAGGCCCTTCACCGCGGACCTGCAGCTGCGGCACGAGCCCGCCACGCCGCAGGTGAGCCCGTCTGCCCGTCGTCCCCTTCGTTCGTTTCAGCCAAATGACGTCCACTGCGGGACAAAGGCCTCCCCCAAGGTTTTCCACAATGAACGGTCCTGCGCTGCCCGCATCCAGGTTCTTCCCGCGACCTTTACCAGATCGTCGGTCCACCTAGTAGGAGGCCCGCCCACGCTACGTCTTCCAGCCCGTGGTCGCCACTCGAGAACTTTCCTGCCCCAACGGCCATCGTCTCTACGAGCTATGTGCCCCGCCCACTGCCACTTGATTTTAGCAATTCTGCGAGCTATCGGTTACTTTGGTTCTCCTGCGGATCTCCTCGTTTCTGATTCGATCACGCAGGGAAACTCGAGCATAGCCCGCTCCATCGCCCTTTGGGTGACCTTGAGCCTTCTTATGAGCCGTCGTCCTGTATCGTCAATTAATAGCAAAGCAAACAGCAGGTAAATACTACAGAAATGTCCCAATATTATAACAATGTCCCGCGTTGCAGGAGCCGGCGGGCGCGCGGCCCTGACCCGGCCCAAAGCACGCCGCCAGCACGCTCGACGCCGCACAACAGACGTCCCTCTTCGACCTTTTATAAATTATATTCTCTACTATTAACTCGTAAAGAGATGTTATCATTTTGAGATGTAAATTTACCCGGTTCATTAGGTGTATGATATTTATAGCGTCGTTTATATCTCTCCTATTAGCCACCGTTGACCTTTGCATTTTTTGATGTTTATTGAATTGTTCGAGGTGTGTATATTTGAGGTTTTTATGCGACCGTGTGTGATAGAGATGTATGGTATATTCGCGAGCGCACGCATAGCCTGCCTCAGGCGGCTCGCGGCTGCGGCCGAGCGCTCTGAGCCGGGGCCTGCAAATGTGACTGGACTGGAAATTATCACCCGAATCACGTGTATCCCGGCAACCGGAAGCCAGAATTCCATTAAACTCGTTGTTATAAGATTTAAATACGTTTTCTTGCAAGAAGATCGATTCACTCATTAACCGGCAGCCGCCCAGTCGCATGCAATGGGAGAACCGAATTGACATGACTTCCGAGTAGTGACGAGGAGCCGCCCGGCCGCGGCCCGGCAGCCGGCACAGCCCGAGTGCTGCACCAGTTGGCATCCCGTTTATACATTCCTGTCTGTGTACTCGTAGCAACCACTGTCTTCTGTTTGTGTCTAACGATAAGTGTAAATGGCAATGCAATAACTTAGTTACATACATTGATGATTTGTGATATACTTCCTAGGTGAAGCGATGCATGTTTTAAGTGTTATTGTTATTTGCGCACGAGCCTTCGAGGCGGCGGGCCGTGCAGGCCGTGCGGCAGTGTTCAGGCCCGCCACGGACGCACCGCGCCGATAGAATGGATAAAAGATTTCCTCTGCATGATCAAATTCGCTCCTCATGAGTAATGCCTCTGTGAATTCAAAAGATGCTCTTCCTCAGTGCGTTTCAGTGTCTTTTAGACATAAGTATTGTAAAAAGAGTAACAATCATAGTATCTATCCTGAATCACCAAACCCTTGTGATGACGCTCTTGTTTAACTTTGGTAACTTATATCTTGTGCTTTCAAACAGGCAGACCCATCCAGTTGGTATAAATTATAAAAATGATTTCTTCTTTTATTTACGAATTAAGTATGTTAGTAGTCGTGTACCATGCATCTTGAACGAATAACAAACAGTGACTGCAACAGTAGGCTACACTGCATCGTAGGATGAAGAACGCTCAAACAAACACATAGTGTGCAGTCGCTGTATGTTGGAAACCAACTCGTTCGACATTAATTTGCCGTGACTATGTTCCGTGAATATGAGCGCGTGGGTGCGTCCGAGTGCGAGTGCAGCGCGCCCGTACTGCAGCGCCACAAAGATGCATTTACTGTTTTACGTCTATTGTATTCGATAACTCCATGTTTTCTCCACTACCTTCGTTCGCCACACTACAAGCCCGACGTTGAGCAGTCGTCATTTTTGCAATTATTTTGACAAATACTAGCTTAGAATAAGCCAGGAGTTAATTGATAGTTCTAACTTCTTACAGCAATAAAAACTGCATTTTACCCAGTTATGGTGACAAATTTATCGATATGAATGACATGAACGACGACGGCTCGCGGGCGGCTGTGAGGCGAGCGAGGTGTTGGATCGCTTCTCTTACTGTGTACCTGTCGTTTCGCTACGGACTTTTCTTTGGCGACTCGCGATTAGTTTGTTTCATTGACGCAATAATAAATAAAATGTATGTACTAATGTTAAAGGAAATAATTCTATCAGTTTAGAAAAAGTCTGAAATATGAAGAAAAAATATAAATTTTTGCTTTCCAACATGTGATTTTATTTTCCATTGATCGTCACACACAATACAACCCGGTCAAGTTAACTGCGCATCTCGCTGGAATGCGTCTCTCCCTTGCACTCACTCGTGTTCGCCCCGTCCGTACCACCGTCGATGTGACGTCACGGCTTCCAGGTGCGCAGTAACTCGACGGGTTGTAAGTAATCATGTAGTTCAAAAGGAATATTAATCTATTTATCGACGTGTTAACTGGAGATGAATATTTGAGTTAATGCCTCATAGGTAATCATGAATAATCGCTTTAATCGCATGAGTGATGATAAGGACGCATCTCAAGCATCGACTCTTCGCCGTCGCAACGAGTTTCGGATTAAACTAAAACGAGCATAATATAAATAAAAACAATTTTATTTTTAAATACAAGCTGGCTTCGTAGAAATGAGATATTTATCGATCACGGTTGGACCTGGACGTGGGTGTCGAAATAAATGCAACGTATTTTACACATAAATAAGACACTGGTCGTTCGGGGCTCGCGGCTGCTCACTTGAAGATCTTGCCCTGGTTGAACTTGCGGCCCTGCTTGTCGGCGCCGCTCCACGAGAAGTAGTCCTGCACCAGCCGCTTGGTCTCCGGGCTGGCCGGGTCCAGCTTCTTCCACTCGTACGACTCGTAGTCGATCTGCGGACAACACGCACTTATACACCAAGTGGTCTTTGTGGGATATGTCAGTGACTGATGCTACTGTCTACTACGAAATATTCATTTAGTTGTCTGATGAAATGTAAAGCCTAGGCGCAGACCACCGATTTTCAGTCGGCCGATAGTTGGGTCGGGCTGTTGATCAGTATAGAGATGTATGAAAGTGCGCACATTACACCGATTTGGTATCGGCCGATTCTTCATACAAATTATAATCGGGCCCAACTATCGGCCAACTAAAAGTCGGTGGTGTGCGCTTAGGCTAAATGTGATTGAAATCCCTCTTCCACGCATTAAATGAGCTCATGATCGTCATGCTGAACCAAAAATTAAAATTAATAACTGATAAATACATAGAAATTGGGTAGTTGCCGCGATTGATCAACTTTTCGGAGAATTATTGTCAGCCCTTTCGATTGAAATTCGATTTAAAATTCATAAAATTACTCAATCGATTTGGCGAGTGACGTCGGAACGTCGTATACAAAATCATTACTTCAATCGATTATACTCTGCGCAAAGACTCGTGGCAGGTGGTGTCAACATAAAACAGTGCATATCACATTTTCTCTCGCACTCACACTGGTTATGGGTGACGTCACACAGAGGCAGGTATAGCGTTGTTTATAATAAGTAATAAATTAATAAAATATTAGCGAATGTGCATCTACTTTTCAAAAATGGCCCCGCCTGCCACGAGTTTGCGTCGAGTATTAGTGGCGTCAACTACTCAATTGCGATAAATGAAAATAAAAAAAATAAAAACATATCTGAGTGATGTTTGATGATGACACAAACAAGAAGAAGCAGAAGCAATAAGCATTTTTGAGTCAGTCTCCGGATCTTCACACATCTTCATACGCGGAATAAGTCATGATAAAAAGAGACCGTTTACTGGACGCATTTTAAGTTTTAAAAACATAACAAGAATGGCAATATACGAGTAAATATGTTTGTTAAAATGTTTTTTAGGAAACGCAATCAACAAGTTTTGGATAATAAAAACTATATCATAAACTAACGCAACTAAAAAGCGTCGTGACGCAACGAAAATACGACGTATTTTAATTAATAAAACAAGGGTTGCACAAAAAAAATCAATGTAGAACAACTTTGTTTAACAAATCAATAAAGCATCATGCGTATGAACATATCTGGAGTTAATAAGGCGTGTATGATTTGAGCGTGTAATTTAGTGGAAATTCCCGGCCCGAAAGCACTCGTCACATTTTTTGGTAAAAAGTATGTATCAAATTAAAGATTAACGAGTCCGCAAACATTTTTTAAAATTCATCAGTCGAAACTAAGGCGGTTATCACACTGCGCCGCCGCGGAGCGCGTGATTTTCATATAAAAAATCACGCGCGCGGACGCGTTGTCAGTGTGAAGTGCCGCGCGTGTTTTCTATACAAACTGAGGTACTCGCATACAATGATTAAATATGTCGCCCCGCGCTCCGCGGCGGAGCGCGGCGCAGTGTGATAACCGCCTAAAGGTGAGCACAGTATTCGTAAGTGACGTAATGTTCCTACGAACGGTAGAATACAGAGGGCTTAGTGTGAGTTTACATCAAACGTCGTCACTAGCGAGCGCGTTAAAACTATATGAAAATTTTAGTTCTTGAAAGTTTCCGCTAGGGACGCTGTACAATCCGGCGTAAATTTAATGTCACTATTTTACGCAGTCGACGTCGAATTCGTTTGACGTGAACTCACACTACGCCCCCAGATAAATGCGTCAACTCGAGCCATGCGGGCGAAGAGAGAGACAGCACGCACCTGCCAGTCGGGCGAGAGCGGGAAGGCGAGGTCGTGTCCGCGCCACACCCACACTCCCGAAATGCTGGAGTTGTTGTCCTCGCCGAACAGGCACACCGACGCGAACGCCTGCTTGCGCATCTTGTCCAGCCGCTGGAACATGCCTGGAACAGAAAGTATACATATTTACTATCTCGACGGTCCCGGCCATAGAGATATAGAGATGCCAACTAATGCGCTGAGTTCGAAACTCCCTGTTGCATTAGAAATTCACACACAAAGTAATCAAAATATGTGCTCTTTATCCACTGCGGTATCAGTACTCAACGTTCTACGCAAGCAATGTATAGTTCCAAAATACTGAACTGTCCTATCCATGACATTGACAGTGGGGCGCCACCGTCAATACCGGATCGCTGGTTCCGATTTTTGCCATGTTGGAAACCATATAGTTGAACGATGGTAGCGCCCCCCTGTCATTGAGTTTGGTGGGACAGTTCAACGTGGGTCATCTATAAACTGTTTACATTTTGACGTCGCTGCTGTCATCATTGCTGTCATGAGCAATGTGTTCTGTTGCTGTTGGCATATTGCTGCGACACCTGCCCCGATCCCTTGTCACATCTCCTTTTGGTTTCTGTGATCTGTGGTCCCGGCAGAATGTGTGACGATATTGAGTTTTTGCCGGGACTAATGGCGGACGTGATGTGAGAAAAAGCCACTAAATAAACAATTTGAAAGGATATTTCCATACTGAGTGATACAAATAGATAGGATTCAATTTTGCACGCGTAACATAGGTACGGTGTTCCCCGGTGGCGAAAAACAAGATCACCGCTATTAACAAAAGGCAAAGAAGTGTTCGATGCGCATGTGAGAGCAAGAGGGTAAATATTTTATGGAAACGCTAAGTGATCTCACTCGATTATTTCTAAAAGATATGGAAATACTGGTTACTGATCATTAAAGCGTCAAGCTCTTTCAAACAGTACCAATGATAGGTTACAGAATAAACTGGATCTATCCATAAATGCAATGTTTCCAGCTTGTATAGAAGCGCGAAGGAGCGGCGACTCACCTGTGATGAGGTTGCAGCTCATGAAGACCTTGGCGAGCTCCTCGGGATACTTGTACTCGGCGTACCAGATGGAGTAGTTCTCGGGGTCGAACTTCTCCCAGAAGTATGGGATCGACTTAGCCTCGTCCTCGTTGGAGTAGCAGCGTTTGAAGTCGTCCATGTTGAATGTTCTGGAGTCATTTTCCAAATTAAATTTAGCGATTTTGTATAACGTCGTTGGTAATATGGGTAAATCGGCATTTGAATCATGTATTTTTAACCTTTGTACATATTTAAAGTTGAATGAAAACTGACCAAAACGGTATTTTAGAAAGTGTGCGAAAAGTGATTGGAAAACATTGCTATTTTTTTTCTTTTTTAATGGCAACCAAACCTCTCTGGGAGGTTTATTTCTGCCAATGTAGAGTGAAAATTGACATAGTTATCAATAGAACGTGGGTGTTTCAGTTCTATTGATTTTTCATGGATTCCGTGGAGTTAAGTATGCCCGTAAGCAGGTTTCAAGACGCCACCGGGTCCAAAGCGGGTTGTTCATACGACAACCCACTCGACGTATTTCAATGTTTTTAATAATTTATCACTTCACTGCACTTTAGAACACAAAATAACACCAAATTTGTACACTAAAGTCCAATAAATAATAAATTGAAACCATTAAAACAGATCGACCACGCTTCCCGTTCAACTACCCTCCACGGAATCCCAAAATATTGCTAAATTGTGTCAAATGTCTAATGACAAGTATTTGTGTAGTTAGCAAACAAAGCCTTGGTACTGACCCCTTGGGCATGGCGTCGAAGGGGTCCTTGGACTCCTTGGGCTTCTCGTCGAGCTCGAGGTCGTCGGCGGGCGGCGCCTCGGCCTTCTTCTTGGGCTCCTGTGGTTTCTGTTCTTTCTTTTCAGCCTTTTTGTCTTTTTTGCCTCCATCCTGAAAAATCACTAATAACATTAATATTAAGTTGGTCACTATAATAAAGTGGTATGCATGGATAAAGGATGGATCTTTCAGCTAAATTTCGTAAGGAATGAATTACGAAATGAAGGATTTGGTGGTGTAATGGGAGGAGTTCCTAAGCATAAATCTAGGAAGGTGCTGGATGCAGACAGCTTCGAACCGGTCGTTATGGAAATCATTGGCTTATGTTCAGCAGTGGATGTCTTATAAAGCCTGGTCTAAAAATTTTGTCCAATGACCTCAAGCTACCCATCCTTATCGCTCGTGCGTAATTATATTGCTGTTGCGACTGTGCGACGCGCGCCCGCAGTGAGTGTGCGAGCGCGACAGCAACATAATTACGTGCGAGCGACAAGGATGGGCAGCTTGGGGTCATTGGACGGGATTCTACGTGCTCACGGACCAGGCTTTAATCGCAATAACAGTGTAATAGTAGGAGTACCTAAGCATAATATCTCCGGTCATCAACATCAACTGGTCATTATGGAAATCATTGGGGGAGGCCTGTGTTCAACGGTGACGTCCTATATCTGAAAT